GTCTCACCTGGGACAGCTCCTACCTGGGACAGGTCTCACCTGGGACAAGTCCTACCTGGGACAGCTCCTACCTGGGACAGCTCTCACCTGGGACAGGCCTCACCTGGGACAGCGGTCTCGGTTTTCAGCCTTATGGCGCAGTCCAAGGCGACCGTGCAGTAGGGGGCGGGCAGGGTTAGCAACCTTGTGCAAAAGGTGTAGGTCCTCCGGTAGAGCTCCTCCGTGATGCCCGTGGCCTGGGTGGGAGGGAGGAGTTGGGTGCCCAGAGCCCTAGGTCACAAAGGGTGCTGGGTGGGTGGGAGGGTGGGGTGGAGAGGAGGAAAGGCAGGTCTGACAGCCAGACCTGGGCTCACACCTCCCTCCCAAACGTACACCCCTCGTCTCTTCGCCCGGCACCTGAAAGACACCTCTCGGACACCCCACTCAAACTCGCCCCAAAGGGGATCCATCTCACCCTGTCCTGCTAGCAAATCCACTCCCCTCCCCTCCCCTCTGCTTGTCCGGGCAGCACATTCCTGCGGGGCTCTAGGCTGAAAACTTGGAGTCTCGTCTCCAGCCTGCTGGGCGCGATATCCCGCAGGCATGACGCTCCCAGTGCAGTGGCCACGGGCTCCGCTTCCTCCTGCACCTTCTGCCTTGGCCCGAGCCCAGCCCCCTCCTGCCCCTGGATCCCGGCAGCCCCCGAAACTGTTCTCTCTGCCCCTCATCTCCCTCGCTGCCCTCTCCCACCCCCCGCAATCGTACATAGCTCCTGATTGCTGTTGTCGAGACATTTTCTCCGTGGCTTGTCCCTTCCCTAAGCAGGGATCGGTGATGGCCCCTGGGGCGCATGGGAGCAATCCCAAGGACCCCATTCCGGCATTCGAGGCTCTCATGCCTCCCACGCGCACTGATTTCCCAACTTCCTCCCCAGTAGCCCGCTTTGTGTATTAGGGGCAGGGCACCGCGAGTGTGGAGAAGACGGTTTGGGGCAGGCCACCCAAGAGTTCTCCTAGGTGCGCCTAGGCAGAGACTGCGTGTCTCCTGCGGGACAGGACAGTGTCTGGCCCTGCCACGTGTGGGTTGCCATGACCGCCCTGACCCTCGGCGTCACGCTCACCTTAGTGAGCACATACATTAGCGTGTGCAGCAAGGGAATGATCGCATGCCGGATGTCCTCGCTCTCTGCCTGGAAAACAGGAGATCGCAGGGCGTTTACTGGTCTGGGGGCCCGGGGGAGGGGGCATGGGGTGGTGTGGAGGGTCACTTTCGGCGGTCCAAGAACGATTTTGAAAACGTCAACCTAGGGGCGCCTGGGTGGCGCAGTCAGTTAAGCGTCCGACTTCAGCCAGGTCACGATCTCGAGGTCCGGGAGTTCGAGCCCCGCGTCAGGCTCTGGGCTGATGGCTCAGAGCCTGGAGCCTGTTTCCGATTCTGTGTCTCCCTCTCTCTGCCCCTCCCCCGTTCATGCTCTGTCTCTCTCTGTCCCAAAAATAAATAAACGTTGAAAAAAAAATAAAAAAAAAAAAAAAAAAAAGAAAACGTCACCCTAAGGGAAGGAGGGGAGCCCCGGAGGCGGGGCTTGCCCTGCGCCTGGGGGCGGGGGTGGGAAGTGCCAGGGCCCCCCCCACCCTTCCCCTTGCAATGCAGGAGAGAGCCAGAGTGGATATTATTTTTTTATTCAATGTTAATAAAAAATCACGTCAAAAAAAAAAAAAAAGAAGAAAGAAAAGGTCATAAGAAATAGGCATTTATGTTTATCGATATTCTGTCTCTCTGCCAGTGGGGGCTTTTCCATTTACGGTCCTGGGGGAACGGGCTAAGTCAAGTGAAGTAATGAGAGTCAGGATCAAGAAAATCTCACGGACAGAAGCGTGCAGGAGGGAGACACGGCTGGCAAACATCATGCTGACAGCCCACAAGTGACCGGAGTCTGGGGGACGCGGCTCTGATGGCCCCGAGGCCCCAGCTGGCTGGGTCTCTCTCTCCCTCTCCCTCTCTCCTACCCCCGCCCGCCTCCCCAAAGCCCCAGAACCCACCTTCTCCAGTTCTCTGAGCAGAATGCGGACCAGAGCCGGACTCTTTCCAGGATCTCGCTCCACCTTCTTATGCAGGGACCATCTCCACATGCCTGACCGGGAGAAAGGGGAGCCCGGCACACGTAGGTGGGGCAGGGGGCTCTTAGCGGGGGACCCCCGGAGCGGGACCCTGCGCCCTGGAGCCCCAGACCGTGACTCTGAGCAGCCACGAGTCTGACCCCTCAGCTGGGCATCTGGCTCTGGGGCCACATGGCTGGACTTCTCACCTGTGGAATTCTGCTATGCTGATTTTGGAGGACAGGGGGTCTCAGGGGGCTCTCAGGGCGGAAAGGCAGGCAGAGGGACACTAGCGGGACACAGGTGTATGCCTGTGGCTTAGGGACCGGCGATGTATGCCTGTGGCTTAGGGACCGGTGATGTTTGTAGGTCTGCGCCCGGGGCCACGTTTCTGGGAGTCTGGCGGGCGCAGAGGGTCGAGGGGAATTTGGTTCACCGGGGGGGGGGGGGGGTTGGGAAGGTGGTTGGGAGAGATCGTGGCAGAGGCTGCCTGTTGGCTTTTACCTTGGTTGCTCTGCAGGGACGGGGCCTGGGCGCCGAGCTCCCGGAGCACAGCCTGCACGCTCCGTTGGAGATCCAGCTCAGCATCTGGGCAGCAGGGGCGGGCGAGCACTGAGGCCAGGAGCTTTGGGGCCCCCGGCGTCCCCCTCCCCCCCCCACCCCTGCACTCCCTGAGACCGTCTTCAGCCACCCTTCTCCAAGCCCCGAGAGGTGCCCCAAAGTGGCCAGCTCGGAGCAGACAGCGGGCACACGGGCCCGAAACACAGCCTTCCAGTCACCATCTCCGTGTGCTCCGTAAATCCAGAGTGTTGTCAGTGTGCCCCTGGCGATACACGGGATGGTTTTATAGGGCCTTAAAAGGTCCTAAAACAATCGAATCACTAGGCTGTTATTTTAATGTGTGCTTGAAAAAAAATTTTTTTTAATGTTTCTTTATTTTGAGAGACAGAGAAGTGTGAGCGAGCAGGGGAGGGGCAGAGAGAGAGAGAGAGAGAGAGAGAGAACCCCAAGCAGGCCAGCGCAGAGCCTGACATGGGGCTCGAACCCACAAACCACGAGATCATGACCGGAGCCGGAATCAAGACTCAGACTCTCAAACGACCGAGATACCCAGGCGCCCCTGAAAAACAATATTTCTAAGGGGTTCCTCAATCGATACATGAAGTGAAAATTTAAAGCCAACCGAAAGAAACAGGTCAGATAAATGCTGGGGCAGGAGGTGACCGTGCCCCTGATCAAGTGAACTCAGGCTCTAAGTCGCCTCCCCCCCCCCCCCCCCCCATCTTGGCCCCGGTCCTGCCTTCCACCTGCCTGTGGACTGGTTTTAGCAGAACCCTCTCAGCAGGAACCTGCACCCTCGGTGTCTCCTCCCAGGGATCTCCCATCCGCTGGCCCCCTCGCCGTCCACTGGCTACAACCCCCCCAGACGTCTGCCTCTTTGGGGGCCGAGCCCAATCTCCGTCCCCTGTTGAAATGGCCTCAGATCCAGTCCTCACCATCTGAACAAGTGAGGTTCACTGGTAACGGGGAGGAGGCCCCTGGCCCATCTCCCACTACGGGGAGGTTAGCTGGGCTCTGTGCGGGCAGCCCGTCGCCCGCTGTGGGGCCACTACGGGGAGCCGTGGGCCCTCACAGTCTCCTCCTCGGACACTGGGGCCCTTCTCCGCGCCTGACTTCCATGCAGGGGTCCCCCAGCCGCCCAGCCGAGCCCTTCTCTTTCTCCTTCCCTCGGAGCCAGATGTCGGTCCGCGCCCTCTCCCTTTCCTGCCCCCAAGGTGTGCCCCCCACCTCGGTCCCCGCGTGGCCACCCTGCTTCTCGAAGGCTCCGGACTAACACAGGAAGCCCGAGAGACGCTGTCCACACCACAGATCCCTCTTTACCACCAACTCCCGACAAGAGATCGAATTTACAGGCAAGCGTGTGCGTTCTTGGGTTCTCGGACGCTGCAAACCACACGCGTGTCTGGGGTTCCTCTTTCGCTTGTTTGTCAGGAAACTTACAGTCAGACTGGGGCCCAGCGTCACAAATCAGCTCATCTCAGGGGTCAGGGACCTCTCCTCCCGCATCCTCTTCCTGCTCTTGGTTTACATCCTACTGAACATAGATCTTAATTGCCTCGAGCGCCTTGGGAAGCAAGCAGGATCGAGATCACAATTTTCAGAAACCAGCGGGTTGCAGTTCAGGAGTTAGAATGGGGTTAGCCGAGGACCCGGGGTGAGCCGGGGCTTGGGGACCGGCCCCTCCAAGGCTCTGGCGTGAGCTCTGTTAAGTCGGCCACCTGGCTTCTCCAAAACCCTCACCTTCTACCTGCCTCTCCCCTGTCGCCCTGGGGCACATCGAGGCCCGTTCTGGAGCCTTCCCTGAGGCTGAGAACAGGCACTGGCTGTTACACCCCACGTCTGGCCACCCAGCCGCCCTGTTGGGCACTGAAGCATCCCCCGACACTGGCCAGGATCACGAAGCCCGGCACGAAGGCTGGCCGCAAGCTGTCTTCCCATCTACCTGTCTCCACCTTGCATGAAGATTTAAGGAGTCAGTGCAGGCTGAGTTATGAAAACATTATGTTATTTCTTCTTTCCTCCTTCCTTCCTCCTCCTTCTCCACCCGCCTCACCAAGGACCACACAGGCTGGGAACCGTGAACGCGGTGATCTCCCCCCTGGCCCCTCACTCAAAGGGCAGTCAAGCCTTTGTCTTCTGAGCCCTGGGTTCCTCCGCTTTGCAAAGGGAGCTCAGCTTTTATGTTTCAGAGAAAAAATAGAGAAGTTGCCAGGAGCCCCAGGAGACAACCCCAAATAAAGTGTGTTTTCGAAAGTCTGGGCAACCAGAACAAACTCTCGGACTTTGGTCCACATCTGGCTTGCAGACATGTTTTGTTTGGGCTTGCAGAGTGTCTCGAAAGGAAAGAAGAAAAAAGGAATCAGCTGCCAACATTGACAAATCAGGAGATGTTGCATAAAAGTTGGGTTTCTGGCATCTCTTGAAAGTCCGTTGACATCAGGCACGCATTCTCCTCACATGGGGGCGATCGATGGGGCACAGCTATTCTGGTTCCTCACAGTGCCTCCCCTCCTGGTTTCCCCCATCCACACCCTCTACCCGGCCCCTGAGTTTGAGACCCCTGTCAAGGGGACGGAGACGATGAGCTGGATTATCTCAGAGGGGTGGGGGTGAAGGCTGATGCTTTTAGTTCTAGAGGAGAGTGATAACACAAAGGGAAGCAGAGAGGCTAGAGTCCCCTGGATTGGGAGAGCCCAGACCGGGGCCGGCTGGGACACAGCTCACCGGGGGTGGCAAAGATCTCGGCTGAAGGCAGGTGAGCACGAACCTCTGACCTTGAGGGTCACTGCTGTGGTCTCCTGGGTCACCTTTGCCAGCACTCAAGAATGTCCCCAAAGGAATCCCCTCTCTCCCTATGCACCATGCAAGCCCAGCAACCTGTTCAGGGGGCTGCAGCTACAGAGGACTGAAGACCACGGACTTTTCCATCATGAAGACTTTGTAACCCCTGGGCTTACAAGATCACAGAGAGGGGGAACCACCCCCAAGTGAATGACATTGGAATTTGTACTGGCCGTGGCAAAGGAGAGCTTGAAGCTGGATTTGATTGCATGAAGCAAAAGAAAGAAATGGAGTATTTCTTGTGCCTCAAGCGTCTCAAGGTTGTTCATATACGACATGCACGTCTACCATCATTCTTGACCCAGAACGGCCAATACATAAATAAACACTCCTAATTATTATCCTCCCCTCCATCCAGGAATGTGGGATATTGTCACGTTGCTATTAATATCTGACATTTAAATAGCACTTGAAAGGAATACACACAGAAAGTCGTACGCAGGCATGGCAAGACAATGTCATGTGTTCATCAAACCAATCTCATGTTTGTCGCGGGTAGACGGGAAGACTACATTTCCCAGACTCCCCTGCAGTTATGGGAGCCATGTGCTGAGTCCTGTCCAATGGAATACGGTAGACACAACATATGACACATTCACGCCCGGTCCTAAAATCCCCTGCACTAGCCTCCACCTCTCTCTTCCCATTCCGTGGTGACCTTGGAAGACATGTTCAAGATGGCAGTACCACAAGAAGGAGGGAGAAATCAGTCCCCGGAAGACTGGAGCCCACGCTGGATGGCGGTGTGCAAAATAAGCATTTGTTGTGCTAATCCACTGACATTGGGGTTATTTGTTACGGCGGCTAGCATTCTCTGACTGACCCGTGTACTTGCAGAGCATTTTCTGGCATATTACCTCATTGGATTCTCAGCAGAGCCCTGGGGGTTTGCCCTCCAAATACTCTTCTCTCTGTTTTTTTAGATTCCAGGTCGAGAGCTCTTACCCTTGCCCCATATTGCCTCTCTAAGCACAGAGGTCAGGCCCAGAGGGATCGGAGAGGCTCTCATCCCACTTTACAGACGGGAAGATGAGGCTCTGAGGGGAGACGTGATTCACACAAGGCCACAGAAATGCGGGAAGAGAGCTTTCTCTTCGGCAAAGCCTCTCCTTCTAAAGCTGCACTCTTACATGTGTCCATCCACCTGCTTACCCGGAAAAGGAAGAGGAGGAAATTCCCAGGTGAGACTATGAACATATGTCTTATCTATGAGTGTCTGGGCTTTGAGTGCTGAAAATCACTATGCTGGATAAAGTCGCCCGCACAAAGATTCCCAGCTCTCAAACCAGGGTAGGTGTTATGAGGCTAAGGAGCCAACAGGGAGGGATGGAGTAGTAGGGTTTCAGGGTCCTGACCACAGTAGGACTCCCTTAGCTCAAGGTCCACCCTTCAATTTCTGGCCATTCCAGCCTTCTGTGATCCCAGACAGAATCACATCTCTCCCAAACGCTTCATAGAATGTTTTCCTTCACCCCCCTTCCCAATCTAGGCTTCACAGGAGAATCACTCAGAAAGCTTTAAAAAAACACTAATGTACAGGGCGCCTGGGTGGCTGAGTGGGTTGAGCGTCTAACTCTTGATCTCATGTTTCATGAGATCAAGGCACACGTTGGGCTCTGTGCTGACTGTATGGAGACTGGGATTCTCTCTCTTCCTCTCTCTCTCTCTCCGCTCCTCCCCTGTGCGTGTGCTCTCTCTCTCTCAAAATAAAATAAAATAAAATAAACTTTAAAAAACCTCACTAATATACAGCTCACCCGAAACCAATTTAAATCAGATATCAGAGTATGAGAACTAATGTTTGTTTGTTTGTTTCTTAAATTTTTTCAACATTTATTTATTTTTGGGACAGAGAGAGACAGAGCATGAACGGGGGAGGGGCAGAGAGAGAGGGAGACACAGAATCGGAAACAGGCTCCAGGCTCTGAGCCATCGGCCCAGAGCCCGACGCGGGGCTCGAACTCACGGACCGCGAGATCGTGACCTGGCTGAAGTCGGACGCTTAACCGACTGCGCCACCCAGGCGCCCCTGTTTGTTTGTTTTTTAATAGCTCCCCAGGACAGTCTAATGTATCATCAGGATGTGAATTACTGTCTTAAGTGATAAGCTTAGAGTTCTGGGTAATTGACCTGTTAGTCAAGAAAGGAGTCAAGTGCTAAAATGCTCAGGCTTCACAGAGGACAATCATCCCTGCATAAGAATGAAGGTCACAGGGTCAGAATGGCTCCTTCCTGGCTGTCACGGTGGCAGAAGGAGATGCAAAGGAAATAATTGGAGAAAGTTGAAAGTTGTCATTGTTTGTTAGCTTGTTTTGCAATTGGTGTGGTGTCTGTTCAGAAATGTAACTGTGGGGGGGGGGGGGGGCGCGCCTGGAAGGCTCAGTCGGTTAAGCCTTTGACTTCAGCTCAGGTCATGATCTCACGGTCCGTGAGTTCGAGCCCCGCGTCGGGCTCTGTGCTGACGGCTCAGAGCCTGGAGCCTGTTTCAGATTCTGTGTCTCCCTCTCTCTCTGCCCCTCCCCCACTCATGCTCTGTCTCTCTGTCTCTCTCTCTCAAAAATAAATAAACATTAAAAAAATAAAAAATAAAAAGAGAAGAAACGTAACCCTGGGAGCTGGGCAGTAGGCATCAGTGCTCGAGGTCCAGCCATGACATGAAGAAAATCTTCCAAGATTTTTCCAAGCAGACCAGTCTTTGTCTTCTGCAAGTTACCCCACACCTACTTGTCATGGTTAATTTTATGTGTCAACTTGACTAGGGCCACAAGGGGCCCAGATATCTGGTCAAACATTCTTCTGGGTGTCTCTACGAGGGTGTTTTTGGATGAGGCAAACATTTAAATCAGTAGACTGAGTCGGCAGGTGGCTCTCCCTAATGTGGGTGGGCCTCGTCCAATCAGTAGAAGGCCTGCATAGAACAAAAGGCTGACACCCTCCACCCGCCCCCAAATAGCCTTCATGGTAACGTGAATAAATCTTCATAATAAATGTAATAAATCTCCTTATAATAAATGTATATCGTAACTCTCATATAATAAATATAATAAATCTTATAATAAACCTCACGCTAGAGGTGCCTGGGTGGCTCAGTGGGTTAAGCATCTGACTCTGGATTTCGGCTCAGGTCGTGACCTCATGGTTCGTGGGACTGAGCCCCGTGGCGGGTTCTGTACTGACAGCATGGAGCCTGCTTGGGACTCTCTCTCTCTCCCTCTCTCTCTCTCTCTCTCTCTGTCCCTCTCCCCTCTCCAAACAAACAAACAAATAAATAAATAGATAAATAAATGTTAAAAGAAATAAATCTCATCCCATATATGTGTGTGTATCCTACGGGGGGCTGTTTCCGTGGAGAAAACCTCGCTAACACAGCCACAGAGGACCACGGCATCCATCCGCATCGGGAGGAGTGGACATGTCCCTCCAGACGAAAGGGTGACAGGCAACCTCAGGTCACTTGGGACACACAAAATTATCACCCAAGAGGTTGAATTTGCGACTCCCAAGGGACGTTTCCCTCCAACTAGGGCGCTGGAAAGAATTGCCCTATTCTGCTTTCTGGGCATCGGCAGCCAGACTTAGCACCCCCTCCCTGGACGGAGAGGGAGAACGCACCAACAGACTCTTTCCGGTCCCCTCTCTTTGAAAACTAACCCCAGGGCCCGTAACTTCACGCCGGGTGAGCCATAAAACAGTTGAGGGCAGCACAGGTCACCTGTGGCCGCGTTCAGACGGGGGGGACTCCTGAGGCAGGTTAGTTCCGTGCAGGGGAATGTCACTTAGCAGCTCGGTTCCCATTTCAGAGGGTGACTTTTCCCCCACCTTGACCCCGGAGCTGGGGTCCGTTCTCCCAGATCCCACGAGTCCCCGCACGCTGACCACACGTGGACCTCGCGGACCGGCTTCCCAACCGGGGACTCGGGACTCGCCTGAAAAGCCCCGGTGCTCCCACAGCTCCGTCTCGACATCTCAGCTTACTGAAATCTGCCCTCAGCGCCCAGACGCACCATTGGCTGGAGTCGTGTGGCTTCCACTTCTCTTTTATGCCCATGCCCGGGGCCCCCTGACCCCCACGTGGAGCAAGGGCTCAGGTCGTTCAAAAATGGTTTGTGGGGCGCCTGGGTGGCGCAGTCGGTTAAGCGTCCGACTTCAGCCAGGTCACGATCTTGCGGTCCTTGAGTTTGAGCCCCGCGTCGGGCTCTGGGCTGATGGCTCAGAGCCTGGAGCCTGTTTCTGATTCTGTGTCTCCCTCTCTCTCTGCCCCTCCCCCGTTCATGCTTTGTCTCTCTCTGTCCCAAAAAAATAAATAAACGTTAAAAAAAAAAATGGTTTGCATTCTTGGCCCTGTTTGCAGGGATGGCCAAATGACAGTAACTCGGGCACCTTGGAGCGTTGCCTTTTGCGTGCCTCTAAAGAAATACCTTCCTTTTCAGGGGCCCCTCTTCTGAACGCTAGGATGAGAGAACCCTTTAGGGCTACAGGAAGGTGGGGCAAGTTCTAGGCATCTGTAATTTGGGAAGACAGCCGGGACAACTTCAGTTCTGATCGTGATGGCGAGACGCCCCTGGGGAGCTCCCGGGGCCAGCATCCTAGTTGGGGGACGTTTTCTTTCCCCCTTTTGATTCGGGGGCGGCCCTCTGTCACATCTTCGGTGGAGGCTGCCGGTGGTCTCGCCCGCCCAGCAGCCCTCTCTGCTCATTGTGGTCCAGGCGCCCTGCTTTGCCTTGGCCTGGAGCAGACACAAAACCAAGCTGGCCAGTGGACTCTCTCTCCCCCTGGGTGAGCCCCGCGCAGGTGATGGCCGGCAGGCAGGAACGCGGGAAGGGCACTCTTTGTGTTTGGGAAATTAAACCAGCCACATGCGTTTCTACTGCTTGTACCCAAAGGAACTTCACTGGCACGCCTCTCTTCCTAAAACGCAGCATGGCGTGCATCTAATGTTCTACGTAAAGCCAGCGCAAAGTAAGTTGGTTTTGAAATGTTGAGATTTTTCGGGGCGCCTGCGCGGCTCAGTCGTTTGAGCGTCCGACCTTGGCTCAGGTCATGATCTCACAGCTCGGGAGTTCGAGCCCCGCGTCGGGCTCCCGGCTGACAGCTCGGAGCCTGGAGCCTGCTTCTGCTTCTGTGTCTCCTTCTCTCTCTGCCCCTAACCCACTCACATTCTGTCTCTGTCTCTCTCAAAAATAAGTGAACATTTAAAAAAATTTTTTAAAAAAGTAATATTGAGATTTTCACACTGCTGGCCCCACTCTGCCACCCTCTGGACCGGGCAAACCCCAGCTGGTGAAAGATAACCCGGAATATCACAACACAGGGATTTGCGGGCTTGCTTGATTCAGCCCGAGCCTCTTCCAGCTGTGGGAGGCTCTGACGGTGACGGGGTGTGGAAAGGATGCGTGTCTTAGGGATAATAACGACCCGTGGAGCTTCACTTGCCTTGGCTGTGCCTTCCCCTTCCCTGGGATAGGGGTCTTCCGGGGCATTAGCGTCTAAGCCTCGTGAGAAGTGCTCTGTGACTTCCTGGGTGACCATTAGGGGATCCGCATCTTGAGGGAAAGGTCATCCCTCGTCCCAGGTTGACAAAGTGTGAAGAGCGTGGGCTTTGCCATGAGCTAGACCTTGGTTCCGATCCTGGCTCTGCCACTTATTAGCTGTGCAGCTTTGGGTAGATGACCTAACCTCTCTGAGCCTCTGTTCCCCTTTTCCATAAAACAGGGACAAGGGCATTGATATTGTCCCACACAGAACCCTTCTGACGACTGCCCGGGGAAAGCCACAGCGAAATCGTTAAGGGTACGGCGCTGGAGCTAGCCTGCTGGGGTCAAGTCCTGGTTTGACTGTACAAAGCTATGTGGCCTTGGGAGCAATACCTGTCCCCGCTGGGCCTCACTTTCTCTTTCTGTAAAATGGGGGCAGCGATAACATCTATCTCAGGGGGCCTTTATGAGGACTCCGTGAGTTAATACTTGTCAAGGGCTTTTATCACGACTTGATAGATTGTAACTGCTACCGAGGCGTTTGGTAAATGAACCCAAGCATCTGGCGATAGGTCTTGGCTATTGTCATTCTTGTCCTCAGTGTCCAGCTCAGTGACCTGCAAGGAGCCGGGGCTCGTACAAGGGCGTGGAGGTCCGCTTCTCAAGATGTTCTCACACTGGGGCGGCTGAGATCGGGGTCTGAGATGGCAGCCCCAGGGGGGCACTGTCACCTGCCAGGGAGGCCTTCCCCTGCGAGGCAGCCGGACGCACTCGACCCCTCTCTCCCCTCCCCCCCCCCACCCAACCCGGTCATACTGACCTGAGCTCTCCATGGGAGCCCGGGGTACGTGTGAAGAGGATGTGGTCGTCTCAGCAGCAGAATGGAAAGTAAAGTGGTTGTTTTTCCGCACAGACGTGGTTCTGCAAACTAAGAGGCAGTTAGCGTAAGTGGTTGGAAGGTTACAGAAAGTGCGTCTGGGGGAATGGAGGGGCTCCTGGGGGACCCAGGCTCCCAGCCCGTCGGAGGAAAGGCTACATTTATTTCAGAAATTCCTCGCGGTGCTGGCTCTGAGCCTGGCACTCTTCTAAACACTGAAAAATGACCAACGTTTAAACATTTGCATTGACCTTAAGAGGTGGGTACAATTTTCTCTCCATTCTACAGGCAGGGACGTTGAAGCACAGTGAGGTTAAGTAACTATGGAAGGTTTGGGCGCCTGGGTGGCTCAGTTGGTTAAGCATCCGACTTCTGCTCAGGTCGCGATCTCACGGTTCATGAGTTTGAGCCCCACATCAGGCCCTCTGCTGTCAGCACAGAGCCCGCTTTGGGTCCTCTGTCTCCCTCTCTCTCTGCCCCTCCCCAGCTAGCACTCTCTCTCTCTAAAAAAAAAAAAAAAAGAGAGACTACAGAAGGTCAAATAGCTTTACCAGCTCAGTAAAGGCCTGAGCACTGGACTCAAGACTGTCCGGCCTGAGCCTGTGCCCTCAGTCACGACCCCCGCCCGCCCCACTGTGACCGCAGTGGGAGACCCCCCCAAACCCTGCTTCCCAGAGCAACAAACTCCACAACTAGGTGAACTCCACAATAAATGAATGAAAACATACCTGGGAAAGCTAATTTGGAGACAGAGAACAATAAGTAAATATTAGGAATGGTAAAGGCCATATATATACAATGAAATAAAATTATAATGCACTCTGAATAATTGTAGCCTACTGATAATCACAGAATGAGTATTAAAACGTGTTATACCAGGGGCGCCTGGGTGGCGCAGTCGGTTAAGCGTCCGACTTCAGCCAGGTCACGATCTCGCGGTCCGTGAGTTCGAGCCCCGCGTCGGGCTCTGGGCTGATGGCTCAGAGCCTGGAGCCTGCTTCCGATTCTGTGTCTCCCTCTCTCTCTGCCCCTCCCCCGTTCATGCTCTGTCTCTCTCTGTCCCAAAAATAAATAAACGTTGAAAAAAAAAATTTAAGAAAAAAAAACAAAAAACGTGTTATACCATTGGCAATGTTTAGAAAGAAAACACACATACATATATGCATATATATATGATATATGTATATAATGTACATATGTACGATGTATATCATATACATATATCATACATCATGATGTATATCATACATGTATATGATGTATATGATATACATGTATATATCATATACATGTATGATATATATGCATATATGATATGCATGTGTGTTTTCTACATATGTATGTGTGTTTTCTACCTATGTATGGTGTATATCATATACATATGTCATACATATCATGATGTATATCATATACATATATCATACATGTATATGATGATGTATACATATATCACACACACACATATATATATATATATATATATATATATATATGTGGCAAAACAAAATTCTGAACCCTATATATCACACCTGGTTTTCTAGGAAAATAAAAATGACACAAAAGGCTCTAGAAGAATTAGGAAAACTACTTATGTTAGTGATCAGTGAGCAAATAAAGAAAGTGGTCAAAGAACCAGTTCTTAAAAAGTGACATATATCTCAGATGGTTCCTCTGATAAGTTCTCTCAAACCAGCAAAGAAAAATGTTATGCCATTACAACTGTTTGAAAGCATAGAGAAAGAAGGAAAGAGTCTCTGAAAAAGCCAAGTTATCCCTGATAACAAAATCTAATAAAGATAGTTTAAAAAGTAGACGAAGCACTCCACACCCACTGGGATAGCTATTTAGGGGTGCCTGGGTGTGGGTGGCTCAGTCGGTTAAGCATCTGACTCCGGCTCAAGTCATGATCTCGCGGTGCATGGGTTCAGGCCCCGCGTCGGGCTCTGCGTGGACAGCTCGGAGCCGGGAGCCTGCTTCGGATCCTGTGTCTCCCTCTCTCTCTGCCCCTCCTCCACTCACGCTGTCTCTCAAAAATAAATAAACATTATAAAAAAAGAAAATAACTGATACTATCCAGTGTCAGTAAGGACGTGGAGAGATTAGAACCCCTGGCGCACTGCAGGTTGGAATTCAAAATAGTACAGCTGTGGTAGAAAACAGTACAGTGATTCCTCAAAAAGTTAAACACAGATTTACCATACGCCCCACAAATTCCACTTCTAGGTAAATACCCAAAAGAATTGAAAATAGGGATTGTAACAGATACTTGCACACCAATGTTCATAGCAGCATCATTCAAAATAGCCAAAAATTGGATACACTTCAAATGTCCGTCAACAGGTGACCGGGTAAACAAAATGTGGTCTATCCATACAATGGAAAATTATTCAACCTTAAAATGGAATGCAATTTGGATACATGTTACAACATAGATGAGCCTTGAAAATATCATCCTAGGTGCAAGAAGTCAGGCCAAAAGGACAAATATTATATGATTCTGTTTACATGAGGCACCCACAATAGGGAAATCTACAGAGACAGAAAGTGTAGCGGAGGTTATCAGGAGCTATGGGGAAGGAGGAACAGGGAATTATTATTCAATGGGTACAGAGTATCTGTTTGGGATGTTGAAAAAGTTCTGGAAATGGACAGTGGTCATTGTACAACATTGTGAATGTACTTAATGACACTGAATTGTACACTTTCAAGTGGTTAAAATGGAGGGGCGCCTGGGTGGCGCAGTCGGTTAAGCGTCCGACTTCAGCCAGGTCACGATCTCGCGGTCCGTGAGTTCGAGCCCCGTGTCAGGCTCTGGGCTGATGGCTCAGAGCCTGGAGCCTGTTTCCGGTTCTGTCTCCCTCTCTCTCTGCCCCTCCCCCATTCGTGCTCTGTCTCTCTCTGTCCCAAAAATAAATAAAAAAAACGTGGAAAAAAAATTTTAAATGGTTAATATGGAAAATTTTATGGTATGTATATTTTACTACAATAAACAGATATCAAAAATATAAAATAAATATTGCTAATGAATTCAATGAATTCAAATTATAATGTATTCTGAATAATTCTAGCCTAGAAAGGAATATTAAAATGTGATTACATATCGGCAACAATTAGAAAAGATTAAACGTTGGCAATGATTGGAAAAGATAAAAATATCAACTCTTGATGAGGATGTGGAAAAATTTTGCTCTGCCGTAGGGAGTTGGTGAGAATGGAAATTGGTATAGCTTCTCTGGAGGGTAGCTGGCCAATAAGTATCAAAATTCAAAATGTGCACACTCTTTGCCTAAGCCACTCCACCACTAGGAATTATCCTAAGGAAATAACTGGGTGAGTGAATAAGGATTGTGTACAACAATGGTCATTGAAACATTGTTTATAAGGGAGAAAAAGAGAAGAAACGTAGAGGCCCGACTACAGGGTATCAATTAAGCAAATTAAAGTAGTCTGTGCAATGGAATACAGAGCAGACATAAAAATGATGATGTATAGCTACATTTACTTACTTGAAAAGATTTTCAGAAGTATCCATTGAATTCTTTTTCATGTTTATTTATTTATTTTTGAGAGAATCCCAAGCAGGCTCCGAGCTGTCGGCACAGAGCCCGACACGGGGGCTCAATCTTACAAACCATGAGATCATGACCTGAGTCAAAATCAAGAGTCGGATGCTCCACTGACTGAGCCACCCAGGGGCCCCTGGAAGTACTTGTTTTAAACACCAGGTAACAAAACAGTTAACACATTCCTAACACATTAATTTTAAAAAGAATACTTCTTTTTTTAAAATTTTTTTTTCAACGTTTATTTATTTTTGGGACAGAGAGAGACAGAGCATGAACGGGGGAGGGGCAGAGAGAGAGGGAGACACAGAATCGGAAACAGGCTCCAGGCTCTGAACCGTCAGCCCAGAGCCCGACGCGGGGCTCGAACTCACGGACCGCGAGATCGTGACCTGGCTGAAGTCGGACGCTCAACCGACTGCGCCACCCAGGCGCCCCTTAAAAAGAATACTTCTAAATTTGCTCAGATGTATGGTAAGAAGTCAAGAAAAAGTAAACATCAAAATGTGACATTGGAGGTCCTCATTGTGGTTAAACACAGAGTAAGTACACTCCACTGTAACTCTCCAACTCAATACAACTAAGAACTCTGAATAGTATGCGTGCGATCGCTATCTGAGGATTCTGAAAGGTAAATGGTAGCAGGCAGAATGGGGAAGAAACCCAGTACTTGAAGCAAGAATCATCCGGCAATGAGTTTCCTGCACTCCCCCCACCCTCCCCATTATACACTGGCCTAGACACGAAGGCCTCCTAAAACTCACAAGTGCACACTTAGGGCAGACAGAAAGAGCTGGAAGGAAGCCTCCCTTCCTGCTGTGAGGAGCAAAGAAAGGGTCCCCAAAGGATTGGAGAGATGGGGGAATTTACTTTTTCTTTTGCAGTTTGTTCTGCGATAGCCCCTAGGAAATCTTGAAATAGGAGTACCAGCAACAGTGATGGCAGTGGGGGCCGTGCAGATGCCTAAAATTCTGAAAAAGGGAAATTATTCCCTCTGACTAGAGGAACTATAGTCCCAAGGGCATGGGAAGAATCCTTAATACTTTTATTCCCCCCTCTATCACAGGAACAAAACCCAGAAATAACAAATAGAAGATAAATAATAAAACGGTAGACATGAATAAAAATATATCAATAGTTATATTAGATGTAAATGGTCTAAACACACCAATTAAAAGACAGAGATTATCTGGGGGCGCCTTGGTGGCTCAGTCGGTTGAGCGTCCGACTTCGTCTCAGGTCATGATCTCACGGTCCGTGAGTTCGAGCCCTGCGTCGGGCTCTGTGCTGCTAGCTCAGAGCCTGGAGCCTGCTTCGGATTCTGTGTCTCCCTCTCTCTCTGCCCCTCTCCCGTTCACTCTCTGTCTCTCTCTCAAAAAATAAACATTAAAAATTTTTTAAAAATTAAAAAATAAAAGACAGAGATTGTCAGCATTTAAAAAGAAACAGAAAACAGGGGCTCCTGGGTGGCTTAGTCAGTTAAGCCTC